TGTCAATGGGTGCTATGGGTGTCAATGGGTGTCAATGGGTGCTATGGGTGTCAATGGGTGCAATGGGTGTCAGTGGGTGTCAATGGGTGTCAATGGGTGTCAATGGGTGTCAATGGGGGTCAATGGGGGTCAATGGGTGTCAATGGGTGTCAACACCCCCCCAATGGGCACCCAATGGGTGTCAATGGGTGTCAATGGGGGTCAATGGGTGCTATGGGTGTCAATGGGTGTCAATGGGTGCGATGAGTGACAATGGGTGTCAATGGGTGCTGTGGGTGTCAATGGGTGCGATGAGTGACAATGGGTGTCAATGGGTGCTATGGGGGTCAATGGGTGTCAATGGGTGCTATGGGTGTCAATGGATGCTATGGGTGTCAATGGGTGCTATGGGTATCAATGGGTGTCAATGGGTGTCTATGGGTGCGATGGGTGTCAATGGGTGTCAATGCGTGCTACGGCTGTCAATGGGTGCTGTGGGGGTCAATGGGTGCTGTGGGTGCTATGGGTGTCAATGGGGGTCAATGGGTGTCTATGGGTATCAATGGGTGCTATGGGTGTCAGTGGGTGTCAATGGGTGCTGTGGGTGTCAATGGGTGCTATGGGGGTCAATGGGTGTCAATGGGTGCAATGGGTGTCAATGGGTGCTATGGGTGTCAACAGGTGCTGTGGGTGTCAACGGGTGCAGTGGGGGTCAATGGGTGTCAATGGGTGCTATGAGGGTCAATGGGTGTCTATGGGTGTCAATGGGTACTGTGGGTGTCAATGGGTGCTATGGGTGTCAATGGGTGCGATGGGGGTCAATGAGTGTCAATGGGTGTCAATGGGTGCTACGGGTGTCAATGGGTGCTGTGGGGGTCAATGGGTGCTATGGGTGTCAATGGGTGCCCAGGGGGTCCATGGGTGCTACGGGTGTCAATGGGTGCTATGGGTGTCAATGGGTGTCAATGGGTGCAATGGGTGTCAATGGGTGCTATGGGTGTCAATGGGTGCTATGGGGGTCAATGGGTGTCAGTGGGTGTCTATGGGTGCTATGGGTGTCAATGGGCACGATTGTTGTCAATGGGTGCCCATAGGATGGGTGTCTATGGGTGTCAATGGCTGCTATAGGACAGGTGTCAATGGGTTCTTTGGGTGTCTATAGGATGGGTGTCCATGGGTGTCAATGGGTGCTATAGGTGTCAATGGATGTTATAGGATGGGTGCTGATGGGTGCCATTGGTGTCCATAGGATGGGTGCTGATGGGTGCCATTGGTGTCCATAGGATGGGTGCTGATGGGTGCTATAGGTGTCCATAGGATGGGTGTCAATATGTGCTATGGGTGCCATTGGTGTCCATAGGATGGGTGTCAATGGGTGCTATGGGTGCCATTGGTGTCCATAGGATGGGTGTCAATGGGTGCTATGGGTGCCATTGGTGTCCATAGGATGGGTGTCAATGGGTGCTATGGGTGCCATAGGTGTCCATAGGATGGGTGTCAATGGGTGCTATAGGTGTCCATAGGATGGGTGTCAATGGGTGCTATGGGTGCCATTGGTGTCCATAGGATGGGTGCTGATGGGTGCTATAGGTGTCCATAGGATGGGTGTCAATGGGTGCTATGGGTGCCATTGCTGTCCATAGGATGGGTGCTGATGGGTGCCATAGGTGTCCATAGGATGGGTGTCAATGGGTGCTATGGGTGCCATAGGTGTCCATAGGATGGGTGTCAATGGGTGCTATAGATGTCCATAGGATGGGTGTCGATGGGTGCTATGGGTGCTATAGGTGAACACTTTGAACCGCACCTTCATGGGTGCTGTGTGTGTTCTATGGGTGCTATATGTGGGTGCTATGGGTGCTATAGGATGCTCTATAGGCCCTATAGGATCTATGGGTGCTATGGGGCGCCCCATAGCGCCTTACCCCGCGTCCAGGATGGGCCCCAGGCGCTGCAGGCTCTTGGTCACATTCGAGTGCACCTTGATGGGTGCTATGTATGGGTGCTCTAGGGTGCTCTATAGGCCCTATAGGATCTATGGGTGCTATGGGGCGCCCCATAGCGCCTTACCCCGCATCGAGGACGGGCCCCAGGCGCTGCAGGCTCTTGGCCCCGTTGAAGCGGATGGTGATGGGTGCTATGGATGGGTGCTCTATAGGATCTATGGGTGCCCTATAGGATCTATGGGTGCTCTATAGGATCTATGGGTGCTATGGGGCGCCCCATAGCGCCTTACCCCGCGTCGAGGACGGGCCCCAGGTGATGCAGGTTCTTGGCCACGTTGAAGCGGATGGTGATGGGTGCTATGGATGGGTGCTCTATGGGACCTATGGGTGCTCTATAGGATCTATGGGTGCTCTATAGGATCTATGGGTGCTATGGGGCACCCCATAGCGCCTTACCCTGCGTCCAGGACGGGCCCCAGGCGCTGCAGGCTCTTGGCCACGTTGAAGCGGATGGTGATGGGTGCTATGGATGGGTGCTCTAGGGTGCTCTATGGGCCCTATAGGATCTATGGGTGCCCTATGGGATCTATGGGTGCTATGGGGTGCCCCATAGCGCCTTACCCCGCGTCGAGGACGGGCCCCAGGCGCTGCATGCTCTTGGCCCCGTTGAAGCGGATGGTGATGGGTGTTATGTATGGGTGCTCTAGGGTGCCCTATAGGATCTATGGGTGCCCTATAGGATCTATGGGTGCTATGGGGCGCCCCATAGCACCTTACCCCGCGTCGAGGACGGGCCCCAGGCGCTGCAGGCTCTTGGCCACGTTCAGGTGCACCTTGATGGGTGCTATGGATGGGTGCTCTAGGGTGCCCTATAGGATCTATGGGTGCTCTATAGGATCTATGGGTGCTATGGGGCGCCCCATAGTGCCTTACCCCGCGTCCAGGACAGGCCCCAGGCGCTGCAGGCTCTTGGCCCCATTGAAGCGGATGGTGATGGGTGCTATGGATGGGTGCCCTATAGGATCTATGGGTGCCCTATAGGATCTATGGGTGCCCTATGGGATCTATGGGTGCTATGGGGCGCCCCATAGCGCCTTACCCCGCGTTGAGGACGGGCCCCAGGCGCTGCAGGCTCTTGGCCCCATTGAAGCGGATGGTGATGGGTGCTATGGATGGGTGCCCTATAGGATCTATGGGTGCTCTATAGGATCTATGGGTGCCCTATAGGATCTATGGATGCTCTATAGGATCTATGGGTGCTATGGGGCGCCCCATAGCACCTTACCCCGCGTCGAGGACGGGCCCCAGGCGCTGCAGGCTCTTGTCCACGTTGAAGCGGATGGTGATGGGTGCTATGGATGGGTGCTCTATAGGATCTATGGGTGCTCTATGGGCCCTATAGGATCTATGGGTGCTCTATAGGATCTATGGGTGCTATGGGGCGCCCCATAGCGCCTTACCCCGCGTCGAGGACGGGTCCCAGGCGCTGCAGGCTCTTGGCCACGTTGAAGCGGATGGTGATGGTTGCTATGGATGGGTGCTCTATAGGGTGCCCTATAGGATCTATGGGTGCCCTATAGGATCTATGGGTGCTCTATGGGATCTATGGGTGCTATGGGGCGCCCCATAGCGCGTTACCCCGCGTCGAGAACGGGCCCCAGGCGCTGCAGGCTCTTGGCCACGTTGAAGCAGATGGTGATGGGTGCTATGGATGGGTGCTCTAGGGTGCTCTATGGGTGCCCTATAGGATCTATGGGTGCTCTATAGGATCTATGGGTGCTATGGGGCGCCCCATAGCGCCTTACCCCGCATCGAGGACGGGTCCCAGGCGCTGCAGGCTCTTGGCCACGTTCAAGTGCATCTTGATGGGTGCTATGTATGGGTGCTCTAGGATGCTCTATGGACCCTATAGGATCTATGGGTGCTCTATAGGATCTATGGGTGCTATGGGGCGCCCCATAGCGCCTTACCCCGCGTCCAGGACGGGTCCCAGGTGCTGCAGGCTCTTGTCCACGTTGAAGCCCATGGTGATGGGTGCTATGGATGGGTGCTCTAGGGTGCTCTATGGGTGCCCTATAGGATCTATGGGTGCCCTATAGGATCTATGGGTGCTCTATGGGATCTATGGGTGCTATGGGGCGCCCCATAGCGCCTTACCCCGCGTCGAGGACAGGCCCCAGGCGCTGCAGGCTCTTGGCCACGTTGAAGCGGATGGTGATGGGTGCTATGTATGGGTGCTCTAGGGTGCTCTATGGGCCCTATAGGATCTATGGGTGCCCTATGGGATCTATGGGTGCTATGGGGCGCCCCATAGCGCCTTACCCCGCGTCGAGGACGGGTCCCAGGCGCTGCAGGCTCTTGGCCACGTTGAAGCGGATGCTGATGGGTGCTATGGATGGGTGCTCTATAGGATCTATGGGTGCCCTATAGGATCTATGGGTGCTCTATAGGATCTATGGGTGCCCTATAGGATCTATGGGTGCTCTATGGGATCTATGGGTGCTATGGGGCGCCCCATAGCACCTTACCCCGCGTCGAGGACGGGCCCCAGGTGCTGCAGGCTCTTGGCCACGTTGAAGCGGATGGTGATGGGTGCTATGTATGGGTGCTCTATAGGATCTACGGGTGCTCTATAGGATCTATGGGTGCTCTATAGGATCTATGGGTGCTATGGGGCGCCCCATAGCGCCTTACCCCGCGTCCAGGACGGGTCCCAGGCGCTGCAGGCTCTTGGCCACGTTGAAGCGGATGGTGATGGGTGCTATGGATGGGTGCTCTATGGGACCTATGGGTGCTCTATGGGATCTATGGATGCTCTATAGGATCTATGGGTGCTATGGGGCGCCCCATAGCGCCTTACCCCGCGTCGAGGACGGGCCCCAGGCGCTGCAGGCTCTTGGCCACGTTGAAGCGGATGGTGATGGGTGCTATGGATGGGTGCTATAGGGTGCTCTATAGGATCTATGGGTGCCCTATAGGATCTATGGGTGCTATGGGGCGCCCCATAGCGCCTTACCCCGCATCCAGGACGGGTCCCAGGCGCTGCAGGCTCTTGGCCACGTTGAAGCGGACGTTGGCCATGGCGTCCCCCGCCATGCGCAGCACCGTGGGCAGCAGCTGCTGAGCCGTCAGCTCGGGCCCACACACCTCGGAGAGCACCTATGGGAGACAGCACCCATGGGTGGGGGGGGCAGCACCCATAGGGGGTTCAGCACCCATAGGGGGGGTCAGCAGCCAATGGGGGGGGTGGATAATGGGGGTCTATGGGGGGAAAAGGGGTCCCAAGGGGGAAGGAGAGAGGGGTTCAGCACCCATGGGGGTGGACAGCTCCCTATGGGGTCAGCACCCATGGGTGGGGGGGGTCAGCACCCATAGGGGGGGTCAGCACCCATGGGTGGGGGTGGATAATGGGGGTCTATGGGGTGAAAAGGGGTCCCAATGGGGGAGGAGAGAGGGGTTCAGCACCCATGGGGGTGGACAGCTCCCTATGGGGTCAGCACCCATGGGTGGGGGGGGTCAGCACCCATGGGTGGGGGGGTCAGCACCCATGGGTGGGGGGGGGTCAGCACCCATGGGTGGGGGGGTCAGCACCCATGGGGGGGGGTGGATAATGGGGGTCTATGGGGTGAAAAGGGGGGGGAGGGAGGAGGAGAGAGGGGTTCAGCACCCATGGGGGTGGACAGCTCCCTATGGGAGACAGCACCCATGGGTGGGGGGGGTCAGCACCCATAGGGGGGGTCAGCACCCATGGGTGGGGGGGGTCAGCACCTATGGTGGGGGTGGATAATGGGGGTCTATGGGGTGAAAAGGGGGAGGGAGGAGGAGAGAGGGGTTCAGCACCCATGGGGGTGGACAGCTCCCTATGGGGTCAGCCCCCATGGGTGGGGGGGGTGTCAGCACCCATAGGGGGGGTCAGCAGCCAATGGGGGGGGTGGATAATGGGGGTCTATGGGGTGAAAAGGGGTCCCAAGGGGGGAGGAGAGAGGGGTTCAGCACCCATGGGGGTGGACAGCTCCCTATGGGAGACAGCACCCATGGGTGGAGGGGGGCAGCACCCATAGGGGGCTGTCTCCCATAGGGAGCTGTCCACCCCCATGGGTGCTGAACCCCTCTCTCCTCCCCCATTGGGACCCCCTTTCACCCCATAGACCCCCATTATCCACCCCCACCCATGGGTGCTGACCCCACCCATAGGAGGATATTGGGGTCCCATAGGGGGATGAAGGGGTCCCATAGATGGGTGGCTCAGCACCCATAGATGGCTCCCAGCACCCACAGATGGGTGCCTCAGCACCCCCAGATGTCTCCCAGCACCCACAGATGGGTGCCTCAGCACCCACAGATGTCTCCCAGCACCCACAGATGTCTCCCAGCACCCCCAGATGTCTCCCAGCACCCACAGATGGGTGCCTCAGCACCCACAGATGTCTCCCAGCACCCATAGATGGGTGCCTCAGCACCCCCAGATGTCTCCCAGCACCCATAGATGGGTGCCTCAGCACCCCCAGATGTCTCCCAGCACCCACAGATGTCTCCCAGCACCCATAGATGGGTGCCTCAGCACCCCCAGATGTCTCCCAGCACCCATAGATGGGTGCCTCAGCACCCCCAGATGTCTCCCAGCACCCATAGATGGGTGCCTCAGCACCCATAGATGTCTCCCAGCACCCATAGATGGCTCTCAGCACCCACAGATGTCTCCCAGCACCCATCAGCACCCATAGATGTCTCCCAGCACCCACAGATGGGTGCCTCAGCACCCACAGATGTCTCCCAGCACCCATAGATGGGTGCCTCAGCACCCATAGATGTCTCCCAGCACCCACAGATGTCTCCCAGCACCCACAGATGGGTCCCTCAGCACCCACCCACATCCCCCAGCACCCATAGGGCGTTATAACGATCCCATAGGGGGGTGTGGGTGTGTGTCCCGTGTCCCCCCCCCAGCACCCATGGGTGCTCAGCACCTACGTTGATGCAGAAGAGCGTGGTCATGCGGTGCAGGTAGTTGGGGTCCCCGGCCATGGCCAGCACCTTGGGTACGATGGTTCCCTGCGCCCAGCCCGGTCCGAAGCGTTCCACCAGCTTCCGTAGGTTACTGGTGGCTGCCTCCCGGATGGCGTACACTGGGAGGGGGGGAAAGACCGGTGTAAACCAGTGTAAACCAGTATGGACCAGTATGGACCAGTATAAACCAGTGTAAACCAGTATGGACCAGTATAAACCAGTATGGACCAGTATGCACCAGTATGGACCAGTATGGACCAGTATGGACCAGTGTAAACCAGTATGGACCAGTATGGACCAGTATGGAGGGGAGACCAGTGTAAACCAGTGTAAGCCAGTATAAGCCAGTATAAACCAGTATGGACAAGTATGGACCAGTATGGAGAGGAGACCAGTATAAACCAGTGTAAACCGGTATGGACCAGTATGGACCAGTATGGACCAGTATGGAAGGGAGACCAGTATAAACCAGTGTAAACCAGTATAAACCAGTATAAACCAGTATGGACCAGTATGGAGGGGAGACCAGTATAAACCAGTGTAAACCAGTATAGACCAGTATGGACCAGTATGGACCAGTATGGAAGGGAGACCAGTATAAACCAGTGTAAACCAGTATAGACCAGTGTAAACCAGTATGGACCAGTATGGACCAGTATAGACCAGTATGGACCAGTATGGAGGGGAGATCAGTATAAACCAGTATAAACCAGTGTAAACCAGTATAAACCAGTAGGGACCAGTATGGACCAGTATGGACCAGTATAAACCAGTATACACCAGTATGGAGGGGAGACCAGTATAAACCAGTATGGACCAGTCTGGACTACTTATAGCACAAAAAACAAGTATAAACCAGTATGGACCAGTATAGACCAGTATGAACCAGTATGGACTGGTTATAGCAGAAAAACAGGTATAAACCAGTATAAACCAGTATGGACCAGTATGGACGAGTCTGGCCTGGTTATAGCACAAAAAACAAGTATAAACCAGTATAAACCAGTATGGACCAGTATGGACCAGTATGGACCAGTTAGGACCAGTATAAACCAGTATGGACCAGTAAGGACCAGTATGGACCAGTATAAACCAGTATGGACCAGTATGGACCAGTAAGGACCAGCATGGACCAGTATGGACCAGTATGGTCAGTATGGACCAGTATAAATCAGTATGGACCAGTATGGACCAGTATAAACCGGTTTGGAGCAGTCCCTCACCGTGGTCGACCAGCCAGGCCATGCAGAGCGAGTTGAGCTTCTCATCGAAGAACTCCACACCCTGGGGGGGGAGAGATCCCATGTTATCCCATGTTATCCCATGTTATCCCATGTTATCCCATGTTATCCCGTGTTATCCCATGTTACCCCGTGTTATCCCATGTTATCCCATGTTATCCCATGTTAATGCCATGTTATCCCATGTTATCCCATGTTATATCCCATGTTATCCCATGTTATCCCATGTTATCCCATGTTATCCCATGTTATCCCATGTTATATCCCATGTTATCCCATGTTATCCCCATGTTACCCCATGTTATCCCATGTTATCCCATGTTATATCCCATGTTATCCCATGTTATCCCATGTTATCCCATGTTATCCCATGTTATCCCATGTTATCCCATGTTATCCCATGTTATCCCCATGTTATATCCCATGTTACCCCATGTTATCCCGTTATATCCCATGTTATCCCATGTTACCCCATGTTATCCCATGTTATATCCCATGTTATCCCATGTTATCCCATGTTATCCCATGTTATCCCATGTTATCCCCATGTAATCCCATGTTATCCCATGTTACCCCATGTTATCCCATGTTATCCCATGTTACCCCATGTTACCCCATGTTACCCCATGTTATCCCATGTTATATCCCATGTTATCCCATGTTATCCCATGTTATATCCCATGTTACCCCATGTTATCCCATGTTATCCCATGTTACCCCATGTTATCCCATGTTATCCCATGTTATCCCATGTTATCCCATGTTATCCCATGTTATCCCATGTTATCCCATGTTACCCCATGTTATCCCATGTTATCCCACGTTATATCCCATGTTATCCCATGTTACCCCATGTTATCCCATGTTATATCCCATGTTATCCCATGTTATATCCCATGTTATCCCATGTTATCCCATGTTATCCCATGTTATATCCCCTGTTATCCCATGTTATCCCATGTTATATCCCATGTTATATCCCATGTTATCCCATGTTATATCCCATGTTATATCCCATGTTATCCCATGTTATATCCCATGTTATCCCATGTTATATCCCATGTTATCCCATGTTACCCCATGTCACCCCATGTCATCCCATGTTACATCCCATGTTATATCCCATGTTACTTCCCATGTTACCCCATGTTATGTTATCCCATGTTATCCCATGTTATCCCATGTTATCCCATGTTATATCCCATGTTATATCCCATGTTATATCCCATGTTATCCCATGTTATCCCATGTTATCCCATGTTATATCCCATGTTATCCCATGTTATCCCATGTTATCCCATGTTATATCCCATGTTATCCCATGTTATCCCATGTTATATCCCATGTTATCCCATGTTATCCCATGTTATCCCATGTTATCCCATGTTACCCCATGTTACCCCATGTTACCCCATGTTATCCCATGTTACCCCATGTTACCCCATGTTACCCCATGTTATCCCATGTTATCCCATGTTATCCCATGTTACCCCATGTTATCCCATGTTATCCC